AATTTTAGATAACAAGAAAATAATTTTAAGTGGTCATAAACCTGGTAAAGCTAATGCTTAAAAAAAATAACAAGGTAAATTAATTATTTTATAAACAATTTTTAATATATATTCATGTACATATAACTATGAAAATTATTTTTTATCCTTTTTAAATAAGAAAATCAAAAATTTATTTTAATTTTTAATAGTGAGAAAAAAAATTGCAAAAAAAAAATCTCCCGGGGGTGAGTCGAACACCCGATCCCAAGATAACTTGTTACAAATTACAGTCTTGTGCTTTAAACCAACTAAGCTACCAGGAGTTTTAAAATTAATTGTTTTTATTAAAAATTTAAAAGTAAAATAAGTGTAGGTGAAAATAATATACTACATTTTCATGTTTTTATTTAAATTGATCATTAATTATAAGTTGAAAACAATGAAATGTGATTGCAGTTTTTTTTTAAAAAGTAGTTGATTTATGTATTGATGTTTAGATATAGAGTTTTCCTCATAAAATATTACAACACAGTAGTTTGAGCACTTTTATTGGCGTTTTTTGAAGTTTTTGTTTAAAAGTTGTTTTATAGAAAATTTTTAATAATTAAATGCTGTTTATTATTATTTATAATTTCAAAAGAGTGTAACTCTATATATATATTAAACATTAAATAAATTTGTATTTTAATTAAACTTTGTTAAAATCATAAAGATATCAAAATATTTTTTGTTTACTTATCATACGCGTTATGTGATAAATTATTTAAAAAAAGAAAAGATTAAACATAAATGTATATAATTTCTCCTAGTAATATTTCTTTTTTTCGGAGGGGCGGTTTTTCCATATATATTTTGAATTTCTTTTCTTCTGGTAACCATGTGAAAAAAAAAAACACACACATATAAACTTTTATTTTTGACGAAAATTTTTATGTAATTATTTTTTAAGATTAATAAAAACAAAAAAACATCAAATAAACTGTTAAAATAAAAAAGAAACCTGAGAATCATTAAACCTTAATCTTTGCTACAAAGTTTATAACACATATTTATAAAATTTGAGCCTAAATAATGGTACAAGAAGAAAAAGAGAATTTATTGACTCCTTTAAGAACATCTAAGGAATCATTTACTACAGGAATAATACAATCTGAAGATGATGTTATTTTAACAAAAAGAAACAATTCAGTTGATATAAATGAAGAAGAATTTTCAATTAACAAGACTGTAGAACCAAAAAAATTAGAAGATCCTACCAATTCTAATAAACTACAAACATTTATTATTAGAACCATTTGGACTTTTGTAATGATTGGAGTGTTTTTCTTTATTTTAGGTGCTGGTCATTTTTGGTGTATTTTATTGGTAGTATTTTGTCAAATTACTACTTTTAAAGAGTGCATTAGTATCACTGTTGAAAACTCTCAAATTATAAACTTACCATTAACTAGAACTTTGAACTGGTACTTCCTTTTCACCACTATTTATTATTTAGATGGACTATCAATTTGGCAATTTACCATCAAGTATATGATTAAGCTGCCTATAATTGGTAACCATTTGAACTGGTTTACTGTGAACCATGGATTTATTTGTTACTGTTTATATGTTTTAGGATTTATACTGTTTGTTAAAAGTTTGAAAATGGGCCATTTGAGATATCAATTCAAATCTTTATGCATAACCCATATGGTTTTGTTACTATGTGTTTTCCAAGCTCATCTAATTATTCAAAATATTTTGAATGGTCTATTTTGGTTTTTACTTCCATGCGGATTAGTCATTGTTAATGATATTTTTGCTTACTTATGTGGTATTACAATGGGTAAAACAAAATTAATTTCTATTTCTCCAAAGAAGACTCTTGAAGGATTTTTAGGTGCTTGGGTTTTCACAGTTTTAGCTTCATTCATTTTAGTTAAACTATTATCCTCTGTTGCTTATATGACATGCCCAATTGTAGACGACTTGAAAGTTAATGTTTTCAGTAAATTAACTTGTGAATTAAATCCTGTTTTCATTCCACAAGAATTCAGATTACCTCCATTGAAGGTATTAGAGAAATTAAGAATTGCCCCTACTTTAACCATAAAACCAATTTATATCCACGCTATGCATTTAGCCACATTTGCATCTTTGTTTGCACCATTTGGTGGATTTTTTGCATCTGGTTTGAAAAGAGCTGTTAAAGCTAAAGATTTTGGTGATTCCATTCCAGGACATGGTGGTGTCACTGATAGAGTTGACTGCCAATTTATGATGGGTTCTTTTACATATTTATATTATGAAACATTTATTGCTGAGAATAGAATTACAGTAAATTCAATTTTGACTACAATTTTATTGAATTTAAATGAGAAACAAATAATTAACTTAATAATTGATTTAAACAAAATATTATATGAAAATAATATTTTGAGTTTAGAAATTTATAATAAACTTTTAAGAATATATGAATCTCTATTGTAAATTAAAAATATAATTAAACTTATTTATTACATATATTATAAAAAAAAATAAAATAAACTAAATAAATAAATAATAATATTCATAAATTGATGAAATGGATTTAATGAGATAATCTATAATCACGTTTTTTTTAAAACATAGAATATGTTTATTCGCGTGTGTGATATATATATATTTTTCACCTCTTCTTATTTTACGAATTGTTATGTTTGAAAGATTTTGATTGGCCTATATGAAATCAATTTAACAAGAAAAAAAAAAAAACACACATTCAATATAATAATATGCTGTTGATATTTTCATTCAATAGAAACACAGTAATTGTTAAATATATATGATTAAACTTTATCTAATATTATTTTATAAATCTAACTTAGTTAATTTTTAAATATTATTAATAGGAATATAAAAATATATTAAAGAAACTGGTTTATTAATAATAAATATTTTAAGTGTATATATATGTGTATATTTGCTGTAATTGTTTTCTCCGACAGCAAAAAAAAAAAAAAAAACAGCAAAGAAAAATTTTTAATTTTTTTTTTTTTCGAATTCTTGAGAAATTTTTTTCTTCATTTTTATACTGTGTTGGTTTTAAATAAAAATTAAAATATAACACATAATTCAATCCATTATTTAAAGTAAACAAAACTTTAAGGTAAACCTGAGAGTAAAACTAACAACTTGCCCGACAAATAAATACTATAGATATACACAAAAATGTTTGCTTTAAGAAGAACTACTTTACAAACTTTGAAGAGAACTTACGCTAGTGAAGCTGCTGCCAATGACGTTTTAAAATTACAATTTGCTTTGCCTCACGATGTTTTATACCAAAACAAGCCTGTTAAGCAAGTTAACTTACCATTACTAACTGGTAGAGCTGGTATTCTACCAAATCACGTTCCTATTGTTGAACAATTGGCTGCTGGTGTTGTCGAAGTCTTTGAAAACGACACTACCCAAGCTGGTAAGAAATATTTCGTTTCTTCTGGATTTGCTTCTGTTCAACCAGATTCCAC